ATGAATTATATATATATATATATATATATATATACATTTAATTTTTTTATGATTTTCATTAATGGATCCATTTTTTTAATTCTAAAATCACTATAATTATGTAATTATTTTTGCAATGTAGGATTTGCCACACTATTTTTATTTATGTATTTACTATTTTAGGGTCCCATTGGAGAACAAGGTGCTACTGGTCTTCTCGGACCCTTTGGTCCCAGAGTAAGTCCTAAAATGTTTACACTGTTGACTCCTTAGCAAGTCATTTTCAAATTCACATGATGAATATATATTTTAGATATTTTTTAGAGAAGCATTTTTTATTTTGGTAAATAGCGCATAATAAAATAATGGTACAATTATGTCTTTATCTGGGTCAAAGAACATACCCAGGCTACTGTTTATGTGCTAGGAAAATAAGGAAGACTTTACAAACCAATTTTTGGTGACCCTTGATGATATACAGCTTTTACATACTTTAGGGAACTGCAATAAAGTATATAAGAAAAAAATTGAATTGGCCATATATCCAGTTATGCTGATATAACATTTTTGTACACCTGAGCGGCTTTGTTGCCCTATACATACAACTCTTTTTTTAGGTTCCTTGGAAATACCAGGTATAGCCAACACATAATGTATATTTGTATGTATATTTGTAGCTGGGCTGCTCAGTGCATTAAATGCAAACACCATACTTTTGAATAGCCTCTTATATGCACCTCAATCTGAAAGCAGGTAGACTATAGGAGCCATTTACAAATCTTTGAGGATAACAGAATATTGGAATTACCTAATATATCTGCTCTATATCTGCTATATAAACTTAATAATACATTTTGACAGTCACTATAGTTTTTTTTTTTTAACTCTTATAGGGTCCACCTGGTCCAACTGGGCCTCCAGGTAAAGAAGGTAATCAAGGATCAAGTGGACCGATTGGACCACCCGGCCCGAGAGGAACTGTTGGTGAAGCAGGGCCAGAGGTATTTGTCATTACATAATTATTATGTATGTACTTCCATTGTACATTACAATAAAATTACCTGTTGGTTGTGATGAAATTGTCACAAGTGTATCCTTTTTATTTAGGGTCCTAATGGAGATGCTGGTCCACCAGGTCCACCTGGGCCCCCAGGCCTTCTGACAGCTGGCTTAGATGATCTATTTGGTGGCTATGATGATGTACCAGACCCTCCTCCAGAATTCAGTGAGGATGAGGCAGCAGGCGATGGTAAAAAGAATGATCCAGGTGTTCAAGCGACTCTGAAATCACTAAGCAGCCAAATAGAGACAATGCGTAGACCTGATGGCTCTAAAAAGAATCCAGCACGTACATGTGATGATCTAAAACTCTGTCATTCTTCAAAGAAAAGCGGTGAGTAGTGATGAACTTTGGGTTCAGGTCAACCATGAGTTCGACAAAAACTCCAGTAATCTGCAGTTTGTGAAAATGACCAACGAATGCAATTGTTCACCTTAATAGCAACCAACTACCAGTCATGCACATCCTGTCCTTTGAACTGTAGTCAGGTGGCTAAGAATGGCCAATAATGGGGAGGTTTCTTATGTGTCAGTTCCTCCTTTAAAAGTAAGAGTTCCGGGTAGCCTTTTTCCAGTGTATGTGGAGAGAGACTTCTCTCGGGACAGCTGAAAGAGTGGTCTGTGCAGGAAGAGATAGTTGCTCTTACACAGTACTGCTAACCTTTGCTTACAGTAGTGCTCTATTTTGCTAAATTAGTACAGTGGATTGTTTGTGGCAGCATATATAGGTTTGGGGGTTAATATTTTAAGGTTGGGGTTTGAGGTTTAGTTTTTAGTTTGGTAGTTTAGTGTTTAGGTTTTATTTTGAATACAGGGGGAAAGGCAGGCAGCAAAAAATTTAGTGGGAACGTCTTATGCACTTCCCCAAATCAGGTTTTGGATTTTATGGAGGTTTATATTTTTTTATTATGGCCTTTCAGCATACACTTGTTGCTGCCACAGGCAAAGCTGCCCTTTGTTTGCAGCACATTGCCGCATACTATTGTGGTACCGTTTACTGCACCAAAACACCACATTGTTAAGTGTGCCAAAGCACCAAATACTCAATTCCCTTATTGCCATGGCAGCTAATAAAGTTAGGCAATTCCCTGTATTCATCATGTCTGGGATGCCCTAAAAGGAGAGGCAGAGGTTCTTTTTACACAACTATAGTAGGAATCAAGCAGGTTCTGCATCCACTGGACATAGTGGTGGTCCGACCATACCTTTCAGAAGCAGGGCATGTCTTCCTTTTTAATTTCTGGCAGTGGGTGTGCTTCACAGCCAGAATACACAGAAGAGATCAAGGAGTGGCTAACCAAACCTTCCTCATCCTCATCCTCCTCCTCTCAGGTACAGAGCAGTGCATTTTCCCCAGCAGCTTCAAATGCACTCTCTCTTTTTCCTCTTCCTCTACAGCTAATGCCCCCGTTGCCCCACAAACTGGCATGGAGGAGTCAGCTGAATTATTTCAGCACAACATGAGTCACTTGATGCAAGAGGATACTTAAGAGTTATTGTTATCGGCTATTGAGAAAGAGCACTAGGTGCATAAGGGGAGAGTACAACAAGCAGAGAGACACAATTGCCATTGATGCCAAGCAGCTGTAGCTTACTGCCAAGTGGGCTCAAGCAATAAGGAGGGTGTGCAGAGATGGCAAAGCATATACAGGTGCTAGAGATTGTAGAGGAAGAAAGTGAGGGAGAGGTACAACATCAGAGAGGCAGGGTGTTTTCCAGGGGCAGAGGCAGCTTGCAGATGAGTGGAGATAGCAGCCAGTCTCAAGAGATAGGGATGGAAGTCTGACAAGGGGTTTGAGAGGCTTATCTTATGGCACATAAAGTGTGGAAGTCAGCACGGGGCAACGAAATGTAGGGCCAATCATAGAGATTCGCTCATTCCTAGTAGTAAGAGATGAATCGTACATGATCCTCCACATAGTGATGTGTGACTTTTTTATCGATATACATCTTGAATTTGCTGCTAATACTCTGATGCACATAATCAATCACAGTTTTATTAGTTGTATTTGTTATATTCAATTATTTAAATGTGCTTTCTTGCAGGAGAATACTGGATAGATCCTAACCAGGGCTGCACCGAAGATGCCATCAAGGTTTATTGTAATATGGAAACAGGGGAGACTTGTATATCAGCAAATCCTGCCAAGATACCTATTAAGACTTGGTGGACTGGTAAAGGTGGAGATAATTTCAAGCCCATATGGTATGGTGTGGATATGAACAGAGGAGCACAGGCAAGTTGTATAGTGAAATTTTATTACATGGCAATAGTATTGATCCTAGTATAAGTAGAAATGTATTTTTATATTTTTTTTCTCATAAAATACTCGGTATTACCTATGACTACAGTCACTGAAATGTGTGTAATGCTATTGAATGTTCAGTTTAAATATGCACACAATTGGTAAATATACTACACTGTGATCAGGCAGATATAAAAGACACATTAATGCAGTGTTTCATTTATTAATACATCCCTACATATATTTTTGAAAAGCAAGTAGTGTAAGTAGCTGATTTTGACTTGGTATCAGTCTCTTGCAGTCCCTCTACAGCAGAGCTCAGATGGGGAAGGAGTCAATTAGCTGTTCTGTAGTGCAAGGAGCATGCTGATATGAGGAGCAAGCAGTGTGTCAGAGATATGAGCTGCTTCTCACTGTCCAGTTACAGGGTGGGGGTGGTGATAAAACCCGTAAGTGTTAGTGAACTGCAGAAGAAAAAAATCAGGGCTCCTTCCTGCCAGACAGGGCTGTGCTGTATGGCACAGCTGTGTAAACCTCAGAACTTGATGGTTAGAAATCCCTTTGGCGGGTATTACAACTTACTTATATGTATTTCACCTGTGTATTTAGCTAATTGCCTGGAGTTCAGGTTTAACATAAGTAGACCTTCAGCAGCCATTTTTTGATAGTCATCTGTGCGATGGGTAAGTACCATTACTTTGGTTATATGGATGCTGTAAGAGTAAGGTAGGACATTTATGTGGGAAATATCATTGAAATCCTGAGATTATGACCTTTGCATAGATCTGTGCTTTTTATCGGTACTATATATTGGAGCAGGAGGTTTGGTCTACTAACTTTCCAAAAATATCCATAATTAAAAAAATACAGTGCCTTGCAACTGCCCATTTTCTTTTTAATCTTAGGTGCCCCTTATTAAACTTTGGAGTCATAATGTGTTTTTTTTTCTTTGTAGTTCGTCTATGGAGAAAGCGATTCACCAAATACAGCTGTCACGCAAATGACCTTTTTACGTCTTCTGTCAAAAGAGGCTTCACAAAATATAACCTACTATTGTAAAAATACAATCGGATATTTGGATGAGAAAAATCAGAATCTAAAGAAAGCTGTTATTCTTAAAGGTGCTAATGATCTTGATATTAGAGCAGAAGGGAACAGCCGTTTCAGATACACAGTTTTGGAAGACACTTGTTCGGTAAGTGTAAACCCGACAAAATAAATACAAAGTTTAGGTTCAAAAGATATATCCAAGCTATTTGGAAAAATATAAACCTGGAAATACAGTAAGGACTTGCCTTTATCTGCACAAGAACGATGCAGAGCATCACCAGGGCACACAGTAACCAATTGTTTTCTATGTGCCCTGTTGATTTCAGGTGGGTTTGTTGTGCGTTGCAAAAAGCACGTCTGTACACAGTGGGCACTAGCCCGAACCAGAAAGCACTGGTTGTGTGAATGGGCCTTAAACAATGTTTGAATTCTCTGCTCTTAGGGGGTCTATTCACGAAGCAGCCGAAGGATCTAGTCATAGCTTTGGCCGATCCTTCGGCTAGCTTGGGCCCCAGGACCCCTTCGGTTCAGTAGAACCGAAGGGGTGCTGTATCGGCTCGGGTGAGCCGCGCTGAAAGCCGAAGCTGGCTGAGCAGCCTGCCATTGGCCAGCCGACAGCCTGCTTCTGACAGCTGGGCAGAGCCAGCCGATATACGGCTGAAATCAGCCGTACCAGCCTGAAGTGAATAGCCGAACAGCGTTTGGCTCACTTCGCTTTAGGTCGGTCATTCACTCGGCTGTCTATTGCAGCTTAGTGAATAGACCCCTTAGTTTTATTATCCTTGCATCCTTTTACTGTTAATCTCATATAAAATGGAAACAGCAACAAGAAAGATCCACTTACTACATTTTATCTCCAACCTAAGTTTAAAAATAAATGCCTTGAGTGGTGTACTAGTGGGTTAGATTGGTAGCATATGCTTAGAATGTTATTAATATTGAATAGACTGTCTATTCAAAGTGATATATCAATTATACGTTGAGTCTGGTGGGCTGAGCCACCTTATGACTTTTTGCATTTCTCAGGGACTGCAGTAACTAGATTTAGGTGTTCCAGCCCACCCCGGAGTGTTCACAATCCCTCTTCCTGTTTCCCTTTATTATAAAATATATAAAAAATCCAACAGAAAGAGTAGGACCATTTTACTTGCCGCAATGGGTTTTTGGCCTTGAATCTTAAGCATAGCAGTCCTAACAAGGAACATCAACAGTTTTGGGAAGTTACTACAATGTCAGCGTCCTGTAATTTCTTGAGCAGCAAAACTCAGACTTGCCCTGTTGCTTACAGGAAACATGCTTACAGGCAGGGTAGTCATACATCATTAGTGCATCAGTGTGCTGCTGTATGTTCACTATTCTATCAAAGGCTTGGTGGGGTGGGTTCTGGACTAAGACTTTATTGTTTATCTGCAGTGTAGTCTGCCGATAGGTCCATATCCCTTGACAGCGAAAACAGTTCATATCTATGTATTTTATCTATGTATTTTATGTATCTATGTATTTTAATTGTGTATTTATTCAAATTCAGTATGGATGTTCAAATTCTCTGACTCCCTTAAAGTGGGAGATTTGATTTCATGCAACAGTAACATTGAAAAAGGAAAAAATTAAATTTTTAACAATCATAGCATAATTAATAAGGTTTACACCTAATTTTGAATTCACCGTTAAATAAATAAATCACATTGTGTTTCTTTTTTACATTGTAGAAACGCAGCGGAAATGTAGGCAAGACTATCTTTGAATACAGAACACAAAATGTGAAACGCCTACCAATTATTGATATTGCCCCTGTGGACATTGGCAGCGCAGATCAAGAGTTTGGAGTAGACATTGGGCCAGTTTGCTTTTTGTAAATCACCGACAGAACAATCTAGAAATTTTGAGTGACTGACGTTATCCTGAGACTCTTGAAAATAATAGCTGGAAAACACCAGCACTGTACATACAGGTTTCTATGAATTGCCATTTTGTTAATTGCCTGGCCTACCACCAAATATTTATTTTATTTTACATTTTTTAGACAAAGTTAAGAGCAGAAATACTGTAAAAGGACCAATGTTTCTTTGTAGTTTTCATTTGCAGTGTATTCTTTCATAATTAGGAGTGACCCAGCATCTAATTGGGAAATGTATAGGCAAAAGTTTTATGTTTACATCAATGCATGCCCAATATCCTGACATGTAAAGGTACCTTTCCAGATTATACTTGTCCAGGTATATAAATGTGTTTTAAGGCACCATTGTTTTACTTTGGATCCAGCTCATCAAGCTTTATATTTTACAATGTGCAATTAGTGATACATAGGCTAAAACAGTGACTGTGGTAGAAACCATATGTCAGTATTGGGGTCCTTTCCCAAGTTGCCAAATATACATTGTCTGTAAATATCCTTTCCCAAGGTTTTGATCGTATCTGTCCTCTTCACAGTGTTCATAATGTGAGGGATTGGTTGGTTTGGTTGCATGCCCCTGCATAGTTTTAGTATGTGGACTTAAACTAGATGTCAATATTTATTATTGTCATCCATGGTTGTGAAAAAATTTCATAATCCTTCAAGTTTTCTTCTGTTCTCCGCAATTGACCAGTAAGTATGGACAGATCAGTAATAAATTTACCATTCAATCCAAATTGTTGTACAAAATACCGTAGAAATTAGTTACACAGCTTGATGGATTAGCTCTATCTTTTTGTATTATAGTTTATCTGTAATGCAAGAACACTGAAGTGAAAGTTATGGCACCAGAATAAAGTTCAGTCGAGAATACCATTGCTATACGCATAAAAAAAAAAAAAAGCCTTAACCTATAAAATGAAATTGTGGAAGTACCAATAAATGTTCTTCTAAAATCAGCTCACATATTCCTTCTGGTCTGTTCCTGGTGATGTAGTCCCATGTTGGCGGCACTTTAAGTGACAGAATTGCTGTAATTTACTGTGGTGTCTCTATCTGAGCCCATAGTTACTGTTCCCTAGATTGGGAACAAAAATAATGCCTGATCTATCACGATTGCTGACTGCAGAGAAACAGTATAAAAATTAAGGCATACTGATTAGAGCTAGAACGCCAATGAAAAAAAATGCAGTGATTTTCACTTTAATATATGACTTTTGATGTGGTGCAAAATGAAAAAAAGTCAAAATATTTATTTACAAGTTGTAGTTGCAAGATTTTTTTATTTTTAAATTCTATTTTAAGTACACATACCATATTGCTCCAAACATTTGTTTAAATACCAAAGGAATATATTCATAATGCAAACGCACTGTTATGTACAGTAGAGGAATCATATTTTATATTTTTACCCACAACAAGATGTCGGGTACAAAAGGATCAAATGTTTCATGGCATAAGCTACCTCATCTCGTGATGCTGGGATGCATTTAAAATACATTTGTTTCTTGTTACATATGAAAAGGTGCTATGCTGTTGTTGTAAAGAGAATGGGGAAAGTCCACAAACATTTCTGATGGTGCTAAAAATTCCTTTTGTAAAATCCTGAATAAATAAAAAAAATGACAGTTGCCCGTAAAGGACATTATTTCATAAAGTTTAGCGCGCTTTTTATACTCTTTATTATGTACATGCTGTGTACATATATATAAATATTAGCTTTGCTTTAACTGTATTAAGCATGTTTTTTTTTCAAACTCGTTTTACTTAAATGTACTTTATGCTTCTGTATGGTTTTCAAAGGACAGCAACAGCAATTCTTTCAGCCGCTTTACAGGTTAAAAAAAGGAAACATTGCAGTCAAAGCACACTAAAAGCTAACCATGTATCGCTTCAAATCTATTCATTAAAAACTTGCTCCTATTTTTGCTGAGTGTGGAATTGCTAAAAGGATATTTATATAAATTCCACAGTTGTTAAACTGCAGTGATAGCTATGTGTCACATTCATTGGCTTGAACATGCAAAAAGTAGTGATACAAAAGCAATTATCTGATTTTGTGGTATTGTCTGGTGTGAACTAAGCAATGTTGGGATTTTATAATTGAATGTTGTGTAAAGAATTCATCTAGAAATATATGATTGCAACAGGGAGGACAATATAAAAAACTATGGAAAGAGATAAATACATTTTCAGGTTTTAAGTGTGACCTGGACAAATGCACCAAAGGTGGCCTAAATTGTATAGATTCATTGGAGTTAATTTGCTAAAGGAGTAGTGCATGTTCACTTCACTTAAGGGACTATTCACAAAGCTGTGAAGCCAGTGGAGTTAACAGCCGACCCGAAGTGAAGTGAGCCGAACGCTGTTGTTTCGGGTGGCCTCGGTTCGGCCGAACATGCACAGCATGTTCAGCTGAACCCGAAGTGCAGAAGGACTTCGAGTCAGCCGATCCAACATCTGAGTCGGCTGAGCTGAACCTCCGGCAGGCTACTTGCTGCCGTTCGGCCTATTTTCATTAGGGCCGAACGGCGGTGAGTGAATAGCCGAATGCCGCCGAGCGTCATTCGGCTCGGCTATTCTGCTTGGTACCTCTGTGGTACCAATCATAATAGAAAAACAGTGCAAAAAGTACAACAAAAAAAGAGTAGAAAAAATTTTTAAAAAGTTAAATAAATGATAAATCTTTAAAAATAAATAAAGATTTTTTTAAAAAGTAAAAAAATAAAGATAATTGTATAAAAAATAAAATAAAATAAATCACTTTGTTTACCCAAGTATGTGGGGATAATAAAAAAAATGATTTTTATTGCACAGGACTGGATTACTGATGTGAGTAGATCTTCAGTTCATCCATAAACTATGTGAACATACACTTTACAAAGTGAATTTGCTGTATTCCTTCAGGCCAACCCCAGTGTTTCTGTTGGTGTGTTAGAGGGTTATTCACAAAGCTGCCGAAGGCAGCCGAGTGAATAATCCAGCCGAAGTGAAGTGAGCCGAATGCTGTTCAGCTATTCATCGGCTGCCTTCAACTGCACTTCGGTCAGCCTAGCATGCTCAACATGTTCGGCTGAGCCGAAGTGCAGAACGTCTTCGACTCTCCGGATCCATTATCTGGATCAGCTGAGTCTAAAATGGGCCGAACGGCAGTGAGTAAATAGAGCGGCATTCGGCTTAGCTATTCTGCTTGGTACCTCTGTGGTACCAAGCATAATAGAAAAACACTGCAAAAAGTAAACAAAAAAAAGAGTAGAAACAATGTTTAAAAAGTTAAATAAAACCTTCGTCCTGTGATTTTTATGTGCTTCGTTCCTTGCCCTCTTTTCTTAATGTTGTCTGGTTGGATGGGAGACAATGCGATCATGTTACCCAGTCTTAAAGGGCTCCTGACCGAGTCATACATAGCTGTTACTGAAATATGACACCTACCATACAATACTTGATTCAATCTGTGTATCCCCGTGTTTTAGGAGCTGAATCTATATACATGCATATGCCTATCTCTCGCGATGGAGTGTATTTACGTGACTCTGTATTACATTGATCTCCATGTTTACATGTCTTTCATGTTAATTGTGTTAAAACCCTTAATAAACACTTATTATTTAAAAAGTTAAATAAATGATAAATCTTAAAAAATAAAGATTTCTTTAAAAAGTAAAAAAATAAAGATCATTGTATAAAAAAATAAATAAAATAAAGATCATTGAATGAAGCAAGTAAAAAAAAAAAAAACGATCATTCCAAAAAGAAAAACCAAAAATAAAGATCAATGGAAAAATTAAAAAAAATAAAGATCAATGAAAAAAAAAAAACAATTGGGCGGAGCTAGCAGTGACAGCTAGCTCTGCCCAACTGTTTCCTATTGGCCGGGGCCTGCTAGAGTGTTCTAGCAGGTCCCGGCCAATGAACAAAAACTGGGCGGAGTTGTCATTTTCGGGTTTCACTTCGGCTCAGTCAAGCTTCGGGAGCGGTATGGGCTATAGTGAATAGCAAGTACAGTAGCCCTTCGCTTCGACTGAACCGAAGGGCTCCTGCAGTCGAAGCTAGCCGAAGGATCAGCCGAAATTTTAATGTCTTAAAAATTTCCCTTGTAAAAGATTTGGTATTCACAGTGAACCTAGTTTAACCTCATTCACAACACTAAGGCTGGGGTCACACTTTTCCAGTACGATGAGTTAATGCACATATGTTTCTCATGTTATTCTGCATTGGGTTAAGACTGCTCATTCAAATGAATGTGCTGGGAAGGCACCAAAAGTACAAAAAAAGAGCATGCACCTTTTTGTCAATGCAGTGCATCACAAGGCACGTTAGTGTGTTGCCGTGTGTTATGGTGCGCTGCAACAGATGTGCTTTAGAGCTACAGTATGTTAGTGCATTGGGCGCCATTCAGGGGAAAAGTGTGAACCCAGCCTAAGTCTACAGTATATACACTTTGCAGTGAACATGCTCAACATCTTTAGTAAATCTCCCCTATCTGTGGTAGCCAAGTGAAAACATCACATTATTTATTATAGAAGGATAAGCTCCATGTGTTATTATTTCCTTAAATGTGTCCATAATGATTGTCATTCCTAACACATTGAGAAAAGTTAGGCATTAATATTACTTTAGCTTTTCAACTGCTCCAGCATTTTCACTTCTAAAAAAATCTCTGGGCAGCAATTATCAGTTTCTTACTGGAGGCCAGAGACGGTTTTCTCTGTCTTTTGCCAATGTATAGTAAGAATAGGATGAGGTGAGTATTGCAGCCACAGATTTTTTTAAAACCTCCAGAAGGATGGTTCAATATACAAAAAAATTTGCCTGGAATTGGGCCTAAATGATCTTTACTGAATCTAGTTTTGTATGAGCTGTGGATGTTCATCATATATCTTTTAAGAAGCAACAAATAAATATAGAAATATTGTAATATAACATATACCATTTATATTATTTAATATAAATTATAATAAAGTGTATCTAAACTCGAGAACAACCATGGAATATTTTGCAGCTTGCCAGTTCTTAGATATGGTGGCTGCATTTGTTTTCTTTTTTTAGGATAAGAAGAATCTCCTGTGCACTGAACTGAAATCTTAAACAATGCTATCAGCCTTCCCAGCTATCTGTGTGGACTACAGAACCCCTTCCCCTGTGTTATGGAGATGGTACGAAGATGAGGTGTTATGTAGCCCTGTCCTAGGGTTAAAACACTGCTCGTTCATAGATGGGGTGACACGAGCCAGTGTTGTCACCCAGGGACAGGAAGTTTGTTACAAACACAGAAGGAAGCTCCTTCCGCTGCTGCACAATCAGCTGCAGCTGGGGAGTTTGTCACCCGCAGCTGCACCCAAGCACGGGGGCAGAATGAATTGATGTAATTTACCTGATTTGGCTACATGGCTAGATTTGGTCAATGACCTTTACCTAATATGGCAGCAGTGAGTCCCTGGAATATATGAGGTGCAAATCCCAGGAGGCTGCGGAGCAAGAACACATAATTCTCACCTAAGCAAGAATGTTTGAGGGGGGAGGGTGGATGGGGGACAGATAAACAGTAAAAAAAGTAAATAAACAAAAAATAAATAAATACAAATTGTGTGTGTTGGGGGGATTGCAGGGAGCTAAAGTGGACCTGGGGAGTGAAGGTCCATTTTAACTTGCTGGATACTTGCTCGAGGTCAGTGACTCAAAGTGTTGAAGCCAAGAATCACCCATCTAAAAGAAATTTTAAAATAATTTTGTAATTAAATGTTTTTAGTTGGAAAAAAAGGGAAATGTACCTATGAAATTATACATTTGTTTCATATAGAGGATACATCTGGTAAGATTCCATTCTTTGTAGGGATGCACCGATATATCGGCTGCCGAAACATATTGGCCAAAAATG